CGATACACAAGTGACTCGATAGCATGCCCTGACACGGCTAAGCGTTTATGAGTATGGCTATAATGTCCAACAATTCAGTTTTGTTGTCTACTAACACGAGTACGAGAAATTGTATGGAAATAATGTAATAATAATGAGCCGTATTCTGGTGAAGCAAAAGGAAGTCTCGACTCAATCTAGATATTTCAAGTTCAAGCACCACAAATGCTCTTCCATGGAATACCTTTTTGAGGATGTTTCACAAGACCTAATGAACCAAAACTCAGCTTCTACTTCTGGGAATACTAATATTTAATTCTTCAGCTAAACTCAAGCGTCTCGCACTTGGGCATTGAATTTCTTTCTTTGACACACAAGATCTTATCCAATCTAATATGTGTACATATATGCATGTGTATTTTAATGGAGTATAGTATATGCTGTCATTACTCAAATTGCTGTAAGTAGCATCTGGTGGCAGAGCGCTTGCCTCTTTCACCTGCTGGTTTACATATGCAGCTCGTTTTTGCCGCAATTTGTGTCAAATATTTCAATTTTTAGTTGCCTCACGTGTGGCTCCTTAAAGGACGAAACTTTCGCCAGCTCCAGACAAAAGAAAAAAAAGAGGAGAGACGACTAAGTAAACCAGAGAACAGAGAACAGAGAAGAAAAATGGTGACAATTTTTGGGCACATCACGAGCTGATGACAGGCGCCTCGAATTACGGCAGACAAACTTGGAGCGCAAACGTAAAGTTATATATGAGCTCTGTAATACATTGAGGAGGACATAATTTAATTTATGAGTACCAAGATTTGCGCCCTCTTGTGTGCTGTGCGCTGGCTTAAAGCTGCCACAGCAAAGCTTAAAGAAATCGTTTACCTAGTTTAATTTACTCGGCACAGGTAAAACGAAGTTGTGGTTGAAATTTAAGCTTTGATCAGATTTTTGAGAACTCTAAGCACAAATGCGGCAAGCTAGTTTATTCAAATTTGTCTTGAGCTGCCAAAAAATAGTTGAAGAAGTAAATAGTCCTAATATATCATGGGAAAATCTACAGAGAAAACTCAACTTTAATTAACTAAGCCAAGGCTAAGCCATGTGTTAGATTAGCAGAGTGAAAACAAAATGCTTAAGTGCCTTAGCTGAGAATCGAGGTAAAGTCGCATTTTCATTTAATAAATTCGAAAATTTTCTGCTCAAGCTGCATGCCAATCAGAATTCGACAGAGTCTGCAATGCTGGGGACCAGTTTGAGCCATTAAAACAGAATTCGCAGACTGTCGAAGTTGGATGTTCAGCCAAAAGTTATGACTCGTTTTGGCTCATCAAAACGCGAAGGCGGCGATGTTTAACTGCGCACAAATGGGCAGTTCATAAAGGCGAAAGCAATTGCTGGATTCAAATTGAACCCAGACGGGTTCAAAAAACGCAGCAGAGCCATGTTTATCCTAAAGACGCATGGGAAATGTGTGCCAATGGCTCATCCAATTATCTAGGCTTATTCTCATATATTTGCATGTGTGTTTGTGTGTGTGTGTGTGTGGTGTGTGTATGGGGTGTCGATGTGTACAAATGTCTGCCAGTGAGTGGAACTCTAATCCTTGCCAGTGACAAACATTCATTTGAGCTGTGAATGAAAAACAGGATTTCATTTGATGAAATGTCAAGCAGTTATCTCTATGGCATTAGCGATGTATGAGCGTGTGTGTCTGTGTGTGTGGGCGTGTATGTCTGAGTGTGGCACATCTTTAAGTTAAAAGCAGCACGTGCTTGAGTTTTCTTGACGTTTTTGCTAGCCCAAATTCAATTAGATAAATTTCAGCAGCCATGCATTAGACATTGAAGTACGTCATGTATTTGTTTAATTGCCTTTGAAGAGCGATTCGTGAGCGTTTTCTTATTAATAAAATCAACAAGAATAATGAAAAAAAAATGTGGGCGTGTTAAGCATAATAAATAAGCTAAATAATATAGAAATCCGAAAGAGAAATTGTTATTTTCTTTTGAGACTTCAATGAAATTCCACACAAAGCCGAAGACAAAAGAGGTAGACAACAAATTTGGGAATAATAAGAAATTAAAAAGACAGAGAGAGAGAGAGAGAGAGAGAGAGAGCGAGATTAACTTACTTCTCTTTCGTGTACTTACCGTATGATGATGATTGATCAGATGATGATGATGATGGTATTTGGTGCCATGATAGGACTGTTGATAATACGAGCAGAGCTTGAAGAGATGCGACAGCGCTGGGAAGAGGAAGAGCAGGAACTTGAGCAACAGCTTCTTGGCGGCCCCCACGCCAATCACAATGGGCAGCAGCCAGAACAACTTGATCTTTATGATCTTGATGATCAGCACCAAGGCAATGAACGACAGCAGCAGTTTGTTGCGCAGAAATTTGTCTACGGAAACGAAAGTTGCACTTGATTAATAAATTTGTATTTCATTTTTGTTCGTTTTTCGTTTTTTGATTTCCTCAACTGAATGCACACTTTCTGCAGCGGTCCAGTTTGGCCAGTTTTGAGCTGCAGTTGTGTTACTTACTGATCTTCTTCTTGATCATGGCACCAGCCAGTCGGGCCTTGACCAGCTGCTTGGGTATTAGCTCCAGCTTGGCAATGATTCCGTTGCCTTCTATGGAGCGCGGCGAGATGCGAAATGTGGCTCCATTGAAAACGATCTCGGGCAGATCTAGCTCCATATCGTGTGTCATTGCGAATTTGATTGTTTTGCCATAGAGTGCATTGGAGACTTCCTCGATGGGGGTTTCCGGACTGGCTGCAGGAAACCAAGAAATATGAAAGATGAAAGTGTGTTGAGTGAAAATCGAAACGGACTACAGTTAACTGACAGTTCTATGCTAATGAAAGTTGAAATGGAAGTCGAAACTAAACTGGTATACGAAATACCGGAGCTTGCATAACACTTAATGCACGTTTATTGATATTGCATTAGTTAAAGAAATCAGAAATCAGAAAACTGAATGCCGAACACCGAATACCGAAAACAACGAAATCAGCTGCTGCGAGCCGTGAATCACATTGAATGCGACTCGCATTTCTTGCCACTCAGACTCAAAATACGTAAAAATCAAATCAAAATGCGCCAAGTGAAAGTTGTGAGTGTGAACGTGCCAAGAAAAATGGTAAACAAAACTCAGCCAAAGAATCGAATGCCGTGCGAGATGTGAAAACGTTTCACAAACACCACAAAAAAGCCAATGAAGAAAAGAAAGAGAGAGAGAGAGAGAGAGAAAAATACCCAACTCAATGAAAGCGAAATGAGCCAAGGGCTCTTACGCAATAGACTCGTAGATGCTCTAATGTTAGAGCATTCAATTAATTAGGAATTGCCAGCAATGAGCTAAGCATCCAATTGTCAGTATTACAAGAGCTGTTGAATTAAGATGGAACATATGTCTATTGCAATATTTTTGAATCAGGTAGCCATGGAAACTGTAGACTCGTAGGCTTGATTCCTATGATATTGAGTGATTGATAGACATGTAATAATTGGCACGTGTAGCAAATTGTTTTCTGATACAATACGATAAAGTTTCGTTATTTGTGGGTATGAGTACTTCAATCCTGAGACAATCCAGGTTTAATTGATCAGACTTTAAGTTTAATGAAAGTTTTTAAAATAAATTTTTAGTTGAAAATATAGTGTGAATGATTTCAGCAGTCTGAGAATTGGTTTGGTTTAGTAAAGTAAGAGATTAGTATGAATATATATTATTCAGGAGTAGCTTTCTTTCATTTCCCATTAGATATCATATTTTTCAGGTGTGGCTTCACTTCATTTCTCATTTGCTTACTGTAGAAGCAATGCATATTAAAATTTCGTACGCCTGTCTCATATGTGTCATGTGTGTCATCAACATTATAGAGGCTAGCTGGTCCCAGTTTCTCTCAAGTTTCAGCTTCTACAGTTTACACACATGGCAACAAAGTTGACTAAAAGCCAATAAACTCTTTTTACGGTGCAAACAAGCATCTGTGTGTGTGTATATGTATGTGCATTTGTTAGCATTTGCGCTTAGTGCAAAATTAACTAAACTCTTACCGGAACGCGCCTCGTTGGTGGTCTCCTCCTTCTCCTGCTCCGCATCGTACTGCACCTGGTTCCTGTAGAACTTCAGGCGCTGCGTTATATTTACATCCTGCGTGTCCAGGGCGCTATTCAAATAGCTGTACACGTTCTTCTGGAAGCAGGACATATCCGGCTTCAGGTAGCATTCGCGTATGAGTCCATCCCAGAGCTCATTTCCGCTGGAAAACCTGCGCGCGATGCGCAGCAGCAGCGAATCGTTGCCAGCTGATGGCTTCCTGGTGGTTGGCGCTCGAGTGGCGTTCGCAATGGGCCGCCAATCCTCAGTGGTGAGGGCACTTGGAGTGAATGTGGATGCTGCCGCAGTTGGTGCAGGTGGAGATTCTGGCGGTGTTCCCGTTGCTGTTGTTGTTGCTGTCTCTGTGGTGGCATCAGGCGTCAAAGGTGTCGTGGACAGTCCGCTTTCATTCGCCGTCGCGACGCTGAGGCAGAGGAGCGCGGAGGAGAGCAGCAAGAGCCAATGCAGCCAGTTGCTGCACTTATTGGCCATGTTTGAGTGATTTCTAATGCGATGCTTTGATGTTGATTTTGTTGTTGAGGATGTGCACGGGCTCTCACCCGTTGGCCAATTACGGTGTCTGCTGCTAAGTGCAGTCTCTTGCATTTTCAATTTCAGGCAATTTACACCTGGAGCCACAGCAGTCGGCGCTGTCTGGGTCTATTTATCTAGACCCGATTGAGCTGCGGAACACTAACTGGGCCAAGGGGCAGCTCACTTACAGCCAAACAATCGGCAATTGTTGTCGCTTTTGTTGCCTCGCACAAAAACCGATTAGCACGCAAACACAGTTTCAGCAATTGATGTTGTTTTTTTTTTTTTTTTCTTTTTGTAAAATATATTATTGATTTTCACAAATTCTTTTGGCAGTGCGTAGCGCGCGCAGCTTGGCTTTCTTTTTTGTTTTACTATTTTACTCTTCGTTGATATTTTGGTCGCGTTGTTTGCAATTTCGCTGCAGCATTTAGCACATTTTCTATTTGAATACACAGACAGACAAACAGACAGAAATTCGAAATGCCAACGGATAGCTCAACAATGTTGCCAACTTGTTGTTAGCTGCAATTACTTCATCTGTGCGCGAGACACGCCCACGGAGTAACGGTTGCTTCTTCAATTTATATCAACGGCGTGCGCATGCTTACGCGTCTGACCGACAACTGACTCGGTCGTTCTCAATGCCAGTCAAGATCATGGCGAGGCCAAGCTGCCGGCTAGCTGTCTCTCTATGCTTCGCGCGCGCAATCGCTCTCTCTTTCACTCTCTCAGCTTTCGTTCAGTTGGCGCGCTTCGTTCAGTTTGCGCATTGCACTGACTGCGTCGGCTGGGTAGTTTCTGCTGCTGCTGCCTCTTCGCTCGCGCACGCGGAATTATCCAGTTGAAATTCTTCTGCAGCGCTAACTGTAGTCGCTGCTCTTTGTTGTCGATAACTTTGCTGTTGTTGTTGCTGTTGGCTGAAAGTTGTTTGTGTTTTGTTTACGTTTTCCAGTTAGTTGTGATTGTTTTAAGAGCAGTTTGTCTGCTTATTATCTCTTGCTGGCTGCGCTTTTCACGGCTATTTCAGATTCGCCTGGAACGAGTTTTTCTCCTGCAAAGGCAAAACAGTTTTGTAAGCGGTTTGACTTTTCGTATACGATATGCATCGGTTTCAATTATAGGCCACTATGTCAGGGTTGTTTCATATGAATTTACATAGCTAACGGAAATTGTGATGGAATTCTGTGCTATAATCAAATATGGTAAACAAAACAAATGGAATTTTAATTTTGTTTTTATTTATAAAAAGTCACTTAAGTAGACTTCATTTAAATAAGAAATAAATAAAGATTCTAGTTCGCTGTTAAGTTTATTTGTTTTAAAGAATTTTTATGGCGAAAACCGTTAATATTTGAAAAATTAATTAACCTGTGTTAGGTATAGAATGGCAAATGTCAAAAATGCATATGCATTCAATTTTATCTCGAATAATATTATATAATATGATATACCTTTTATGAATTCTACGACGCATTATCCTCTTCTTCAAATCATGGGGTATACTTAATATATGTACAAATACTTGATATGTGAATACCAAAACACTCAAATGTAATTGAACTTTAAGAAGTGACAAGAGTAATTGAACCTTTGCCGAGTGCACAGATGCCACGCCCTTCTTCATTTAGTATTGATGTAGCCAACGCCTAATGTCATACGGTAATCTACCGAATGTGGCCTAATTACGCACCAGCTAATGTCCTCTGCGTACCCAGTCGTGAGCACACACGAGCGCAGACAATCACAGATTTACATACATACATACGTAAGCTGAGCTGGCTTGATGTAACAGACTGGGCCATTTATAGCGTCTAGTATAAGAAAATCAATTAGATTAAATTACGAACACAGCTGCAGCTGCTGGGGCTTATTATGAGCAATGCGAATTATGAATGTGTTTTTTAATGAGCTCGCTTGTTGTGTGGCTGCGGCAGCGGCTGAGACTGCGACTGCGGCTGAGACTGCGACTGCAACTGCGGGTCGTATGAGCAATGCGCGTTATCAGCGTCATATGCTTTAAGCAGCAGCTGTGATTGCGTTTATGTCTTTTCATATTAAATACACATATTCTTTACAAGCGACCGTGTTGCCTTATGCAATCAAATGCGAAATGGCCATAAAGCATTTCAAACAAAACTGTCATCAAAATAATGGGCAGCAAAACAAGTTTTGGCAACGAACAGAACTCAAGTTGGGTGTTACGTATAATAGGGTCTGTTGCATGATTTGTAGTTTCCAGTAGTTCGTTTTGGGCTAGCGGCTAACGGTCGGCGGGTCTTAGTCGAGAGCGGTCACAGTTCAGAGTTCAAAAGATAACTAGAACATTGCGTGAGTTTTCGCTCTTAGCAATTAAAGCGTACACAAAAATTTCTGTGCTCGGTTATATAACAGCCGACATGTTAGTTCAGCTGGACTATTAATTGATGTTGGCTCTTATGCTTTCACTGGATGAATCTGATTACTCTGGCATAATGATTTCATTAAATCTTTCTTAATGACACTTGGCTGGAAAAGTGGCCGAAATGCTGTGTGGCATATTTATAATTCGGTAACAAGTTTTCGCTGTCACAGACAACATTTTCAGTGAGAGATTTTATTGCATTTTTATGCGACAATTTTGTATTAAGGTTTTTTTTTTCTTTTTTTTTTCTTTTGTCGAGCAGACGACGGTACAACACAAATGTGAAGTGGATGTGGGCATCTGGTTAGCAAATACCCCGTTTTCAGCATAGACTGGCTGTTACGTATTGCGAATAACAAATCTCTTTCATTATTAGGCAACAAGTGAGCTCTACTCTGCGGCCAATGTTGTGCTAGACGTGGTCGTATAATTTTTAAATTACAAAATTCTCTCGATAATTCTTTACAATAAGAGACCTAAAGCAAGAATGTATTTAAAAGGGGGAAAAAAAGGGAACTGTAGAGGACCAGGCAGAGAATGGCGAAAAGGGAGATAGAGATAAAAATATAGAGAATGAGAATAATATTTAAAGAGAGAGAGAGATGTAGAGACAGAGATATTAATATGTGCAAAAAGTATGGTAGAGACTAACAGAGAGAGATAGAAAGTGGATAAGAAGAGATGGAAATTTATGTGTGGGAGAGAATTGTAGAGAGACAGGGAGGGAATATATGTAAATATTGGGGAAAACAGCAGCAAAAATAAAGAGAAAGAGTATGTGAGAAATTACCATGCCTTTATAAAAATTCAAATACAAAAGGACAAATAGAAAGGAAGTGTGAGAGGAGCAGAGAGTTCGAATAGCTGCCTAATCGATTACCTGATTAACATAGTTAATGAGTGATTGTCTGACTGACTAATCAACTGATTGAGTCACAATCTGATTGTCCTCGATGACTGTAACATTAATTTAATCAAATCAAGTGTGCATTCCGTCTCCAACAAGTATTTTTCATATACATGTAAATTCCAGCCCACTTCACCAATCTCCTCCAGGGTATACCAGCAAGAGAAGCAGTGAAAGAATTTGCATGCCGGTGCCATGTCGAGGCTGACTTGACTAGTTTTATTGCTTTCTGTTACATAAATACTCTCGTAAATTATAAAATTCATTTCAAATTATGTTTCGCATAATCTTGTAATCGTGTTGAATCAAAACTGTGCATTAAGTATTGGCTTAAACACTTGCCAACTTTCAGTTTTAGCGCTTGTATCTAATAGATACTTAATTTCACTTTGTGCGTGTATCTTTCGGTCGGCTTTCAGTCCGTATCTCTCTTTGTCTGTCTGGCTGTCTTTCTATTTATCTTTTGCTTGAGTTTTGTTTTTGTTTTTGTGGCAATTTGTAAACCGATCGCGTCTAGCGTGCAAATATTTTTATAAACTGTAACTTAGTCATTTTTTTGTTTTGTTTCTTAGTTAAGAGAAATCTAGCTGGGCCAAAGCAAATTCACTTTCGTTGCGGTTAACCAACTCGACTTACTAATGGCTTATTAAGCCACAAATAGATTGGCTTAATTTTTACGAGCGCGTTTTTATGTGCAGGCGAGTGCAACGCATTTAATGCTATTCCCCAACTTAATTTGATTGTGTTTTTTCGTTTGTTTGTTTTTTATTTCATATATATACACATTTTTTTTTTTTGTGACAAGTGAAGCTGAACGGCCAAAACGTGTTGATAAACCGACCATAAAAACCATCAGGCGACACAATTCGCACATTCCCAATGTTAATCGAATGCGGTAAATCGTTTCTTGGCATTCTTGGCCTATACAGAGAGAAGGCTAGAGAGAGAGAGGGAGGGAATATTTTATTAGCTACGCACAATGTACACATACATATATCCCTACTTTTTTAATATAGTCAGTAGGGAAATTGAATTTTTTATGAAATATTTTTAATATCAATTTCTCTTTATTGGAACTGAGCGCATGCTCATCAAATAACCGTAGGCAAATTAGGAATCGTAATTCCCTGGCAAATATAATGCTCTGCTCGCCGAAAATAGACGTTAACTAACCTAATATAATTATGATAATTTATTTTCATGTAATTTAATATTAATGTTCATCATACTTTGCAAAAAATAAACATCTGTAAAAATTTTAAATATTGAAAAAAAAAAAAGAAAATTAAAAATATAAATAAAATAAATTTAAAAAAAAAAACTATTTTTTTTTTTTTTTATTTAAAAAATATTAACTAGGACATTAAAATCAAAGAACGCTGTTCATTCGCCGAGTCTTTACTGTAAAACGCATTAAAAATGCGCCAACCTAAATAATTCTAGCTTGTTTTTAAAGATTTTTATCGTTTGTCTCAAACGAACTTAGCTCGATAGCTGGTATATATTATGCAAATAAATTTTCCGTTAATTTGCAATAGGCAAGCGAAGACAAGACGTCTTCTGATTGGCGAATATAAAATATGCCTGATGCATAATATATTTGCTATATTTTCATATAACAACATTATTATAAAGCGGAATTATATCAAAGCAGAGAGTAACGGAATTTTCTGAGGGTTCTGGGTACAAAAAAATCTAAGAGTGAAAAGTAGGCTCGGCCAGTTCGACTATATGTGAGTAGAGTGGAGAGTCTACATTTATATTTCCTCTCCATTAGACAGTTATCTTATATATATGAGTATATATAAGTAGAGTGGAGTGTATATTTTTATATTTCCTCTCCATCAAACAGTTTAAGCGACTTTCTGCATCTGGGAAATGGTTTATTAAGGGAAGTACATATGTATATAACCTGATTTTATTGCCTGCTCTTTTAGGTCGATCAGCACATTTCAGTGTAGTTGACATTGATTTAAATCAATACTTAACCTTAATAGTTTATCTGGTATGTCTTAAGATCTTTCATATAATGTTTCTCTGTATGATAAACTTATGCTAAAGATGTCATGGAGCACATGGAATACTTCCCTGCTAGGCAGAGGGAAGTAGGCCTTAAGTTGCCTTGACGGTTTATAGTTCCTCTATACACTCATCTTATATACAGACGTCTCATATACATACATATATATATATACACATATACATATATACACTCTATATACATACATATCTAGCATTAGAATTAACTGTTATTCGTAACTAACATTTGGCATGACAAGTGAAATGTTTCTCTTTCACATTTGTCGCCATTGTGCTAAGGCCTGGCATTTAATGGCGAGATCTATGCAAATAGTTAATAGTGTTTAACAACAAAATACTGAATGGCACGCCAGCTGTTTATGGCCGGGCTAATTGCTAGAATAATGCGCACGCTTGGCTATAAAGTTATTGTTATTGTTATTATTGTTGTTGTTGTTGCTGTTGTTGTTGTTGTTGTTAGGTA